TATATTGAATGTTACAATTGTAAAGGCATAAATTGAAGTTTAAATAAGAGTTGAATGGACAATATATCAATATATCTATCAAGACCCATGTGAAATTTCCCATAGTTTGCTTTAATTCAGAGATATAGCGTATTGGGAATGATTGTACATGAACGACTGTATACATGAACGACTGTATTAAAATTAAAATGAGTGAGTTATTAGACCTTAGAGGATTAATGCTACAACTTAATATAAATATACTTGCAGAGACCTGCAGAGAGAAGGGTGGTTTTTATTTCCAGTTTTAGTCTTATATAATACAGACACAGAATAAAGTAATGATTGAAACAATACAATTATAATCTTATAATATAAAATATATATTTGAACACGTGAACAGCGAGGAGTCTTACACTCTTATGTTTATGGAATGTTTTGTGCCAAAACAAGAAATACAAACCAAACACTGTGGTTCAATAGAGCAGAATATTTGTAGCTCAGGGTTGAACTGTGGAGTCCTTGGTGCTCTCTGAGCTTGGTTGTTTTCTTGCAAACATTTCATTACCCAATTAGGTGACATCAGTTTTCTCCATTAAATAAAAGTTAGAGAGGGATTTCTACCAGGATTCTTGCTCAATGATAAAGAACTGATCCAAATGCAATGATCAAAAGCTGTTGCTTTTAAAAGTAAAAACAAGAATCATTGATTGCAGACATATGTAGCATACTTATCAGAACATCCAGATTTCTTAGGGTGTTAATTTTAAAGGTTGCCTTTTCTTACTACCATGAGAAGAGAAAGCCGTGAGAAATTTCTTGCCCAACTCAGAACCTGATGACTAGAATCCTAAGCAATTTCATCATTGCTATACACATAACTCAAGTGTAACTGCTAAAACTAGCCTTATTGGAGATCTTCCAACATAAAAGAAATTGCTTCACTTCCAATAATTTGGTTAGATTTAATTAGTGAGTTTTACTCCATTAGAAGACGTGTTGCTGACTTTCAATGATAGCCATAGATTATCTTGCATATATGTCACACAGAGCATTCTTGAAATCCTGCAGCTGTGCACTTTTTAAAAAGGACAAGTTTACTTTCTAGTATTCTAGTTCTAGGACACTTGTTGTATGGGGCATGTCTATACAATGTAAAAGTTAATAGGAAATTGAAAGTATTAATAAACAACTATAGGCAGCTATTTTTGGCATGTTTTATAAGTGTCCTAAGTGGAGACAGAGGTAGAGTTCTGATCTATGGCATGTTTGGAGCTTTTATCTTCAGTGTTTACAGATTCTTGTTTTCCCTCAATCCATTATAGAACTTTGTTCTAGAAAGAACTCATGTTAAATTTTTAATCAAGTATCAACTCTCCATAAACTTATATTCTGTAGTTAATAAGTAAGAGATTTTAATAAGATAAAGACTCAGTATCTTTGGGACTGGGTACACATAAGCATTAATGTATCACTATACTACACTACAAACATTACTTTAGAACAGGGGTCCCTGACCCCTGGGTCCATCGACTGGCACCAGTCCATGGCATGCCAGAAACCAGGCTGCATAAACAAGCAAAGGCCCATCTGGGGTTGCAGGCAGCACATGAAACCCCGTCCCCTCCAGTCTACGGAAAAACCTCTCTCCATGAAACCAGTCCCTTGTGTCCAAAAGGTTGGCTGCTGCTACTGTAGAAGAAGAGCAGGCAGAGCTGGGGAGCAGAGTTAAGCATGTCATAGGGTTAGAATTTTTGCATTCCCACAAGTGCTCCAGGTCAAACCCCCCTCCCCACCCCCAAGTTCTTTTTTTTTTTTTTTTAACAAACTTTATTCAGTTTTTCACATTAAAAACAAAAATCTCTTTTTAGTGGACAACATGTTTACAGGTCATCACCTTTACATACAAATATGACAGCAATTATACATTGATATATGCATACTTAATTCTATTATTACCTTTTCCATTCCAAATTTTCAGTAAGGAGAGAAACAAACACATTAATTCTAGCCTCTTTCATTAATCTCAATCGAAACATCTTTTTGTTTCATTTCATATTTCAAATATAATCCTTTAATATTTATTTTAAAAATAAAGATAAACAATATGTGTTTGCATAATAATAATGATAATGATAATAATAAAAAGTTACCAATGTCTCTCCTTGCTTTTAATAGTCTATATTAACTTATTAATTTAGTTAGTTCTTTAGTGTGTCATATTCCCTTTCCATTACACATTCTTTTTATAAATTCTAGATTAATACAAATTTTAACACTAAAAAAAAACAAGTATAGGTTTCCCCCCTTTTACTGTTTTGAGTGTGACACCTCAATGATTAAAATATACCTTTATTCCCTCATCTTAAATTTCCAATAAATCATTATTTTTAAGAAGTTACAATAATAATCATTACATCTTTTCACTTGGATTCCACAGCATATTTTCCCCTCTTGATTTTTAATAAGAGTTATCAGTATCTATATTACCCTATTTTCTAAATATTTGTAATTGCAGAAATATTCTTATTACCCCTTGTCACCCTGCAGAATCCCCTTTTTAATTCATCAACCATTATCTCTGAAAAAACTATTTCTTTTCAACATTTTACTATTTCCGTATTTCATTATTTCATGCACCTGTTTCTTACTGCTTTTCCTCCCCCTCTTTTCCCCATATCTTTTCTCATTCCAGTTTATATCCCCCTCTTTCTTAATATCTTCCTTTCCCCTTTTCTGCTGGGTCTTTCTGCCTTTCCTGACTTCACAGGTATTCCCCCTTTTGATTGCCTTCTTAAATCTCAACTTTTTAACCTTCCTTCTTCCCCCAATTCTTTGTAGTGTTCTTTGTGTTAATTGTCTATTTAAAATGTCTTCTCCTTGAATCGACTCCTCCTCCTCTGAAGCTCTTTCTTCTTGTTCTTCAATCGCCATTTCCATTTTTTCTAACACAGAGCAAAGTGATTCACCTCTTTCCTGTAGTAATTCTCTCATATTTTTAAGTTCCATTTTTAATTCCCGAAGAGATATCATCATTACACACTCTTGTATTTTATGATCGTTAAAGTCCACAAAAAAACACTTTTACTTTCCTTCTTTCTTCTTTCAATTTTCTAAAGTTCTCAATTATTCCAGCCGAGAGTCTATACCAAAAACATCAATCAATCCCACAGTCAGTCTTTCCTTGCTTTTTTCTTTATTCTAGTTCTGCGTTCACTTTCTAAGATTCTTACTTTGTTTCAATATTTCTTTAATGTTATATCCACACAAGTTCATTCAGAAACAGGATGCTTTCCCTTGTTTGAGCTCAAGTTTTTGTCAAAAGGTGGCACTCTCCATTATACAAAGTCTTCACCTTTTCCCCCTATTTTTTTATTTAGGGTTTTTCGAACCTCAATATTCCAGCACAGTCCAGTCTCCAATTTGTAAACTTTATTATTATTATTTTTTGACAATCTTAAGTCCAGCTTTATTTTATGCCTGTTTATTCCCAAAATATTTTAGTCTAATTTAATTAAATCTTTAGTTCCAGCTTTTTCCTTTCCTGGTTCGAAGCCCCGCTTAGCTGTCAAAAATATTTTCTTTTTTTTTTCCTGTCCCTTTGTAATTTCACTGCTCACTTTTCTTTTCTTAAAAATTCCATGTTACCTTAATCCTGGGGTACTTTTGTTTAGTTGTATTGCCCAGTTGTCCCGGTTCAGATGTTATCCACCTCTTTCTTCCCTCCTGCACAAAGCTTAATCCAGCTGAGTCCTCCTCTACGGGATGGCCATTTTAAACTACCGCTACAGTCATCTTCGGGGGGGGGGGAAGACCAAACCCAGGAGGGGAGATGCGACTCCCCTCAACCTGGCTTGCAGCTTCCCCTTACTCCGCCGCCCCTCCAAGGCAGCTTCAGCCCCTAATCGTAAGGATCGGGGCTCTCCAATGAAAGAGCACGGACCATAGCCGCAGAGAGTCACAATCTACGGTCCGTCAGCAAGGAGGCTCCGCCTTCTTCCCCCACCCCCAAGTTCTGTTGATCCTTATTTAGCACCAGTTTAGTGTTGAACTTTAGTTGAACAGATTCTTGTGTATAAGCTTGGATAAATGTTCTCTGCTGCATTGTCCTGATTATTTGCCCCTGACATTATCCTGGTTGTTCAAACCTTCACTTGACAGTATATTGGAATTATTGGATATGATAGGATAAAAGTAATGTACAAGACACATTCTCTAATTTACTTGTGTAATGGTTTTTATATGGAGTATTATATTAACATAATTTTGACTTCTGTATAAATGAACATCTTTTTTCCTACTCAACGTTTAAAAGAAACTGTTAAAAGGTGTAGCAGTTTGTAGGCTTTTTATTAACTGGTTAAAATAAAATCTCATGATGGGGGACAAGGGGTGGAATTTGTGGGTGGAATTCTTACTCTTTTCAATTAGCAAGATATGCATTTACAATATCCCTTTGGGGCATGTAGTAAAAATAAGTGAATTGCTTTGTCATTTGAAAATACTCTGTGGACGTTTTAGGGAGAGGGAAGACACTAGGCTTGAAAGAGGCATGTGTTTAAGACTGGAGCTGTACAGCTTGATTGAGGGGTGACTATAATATAAATTTGTTCTACATAGATTCTTGGTATTAGAAATTCATATTGTATCCGTGTGATGCATTCAGGCCCTTATCCTCCTGGAATAGTGAAGCGGTATTCTTATTAACTTGTTAACTCAGTGTTTCATGGTGAGTTCCAGAATAGAATTTGACATTTAAACGTCTGATTTACGTTAACGAAACTCTTAAATGGTGAAGCTGAAAGACTAAATGTGGAACTGCAAATTGGGTGTGTGCTTAATTATCCCATAAATACAATCTTAGAAAGTTAAGTTATTTTCTCTCTTTTACTTCTGCCCATTTCAACGAATAGATTTTCTTTAAAACTAGCTGTCTGTTAGCAAAATAAACCTGAAATGATGTGCGCATTGTTAGCATGTTATCCAGAAATAGAACCTGTCTTCCTCTCCCCTTTTTCCAGGTTTTGAATGAAGAATGCGATCAGAATTGGTACAAGGCAGAACTCAATGGCAAAGATGGCTTCATTCCCAAAAATTATATTGAAATGAAACCACATCCGTAAGTAAAGTATTACTGTTTCCTCAATTATTTGGCACACTTACTGACTGAACTGTGGTGAGAAAAATAAGATTCTTTCTTAAATTACAATGCAGAGAGCAACTTTGTGAGTAAATAAATGCATAGTTGCTTATAAATCTGAGACTGACCAACGTACAGGTAGTCCTCGAATTACTACCACAATTGAACCCAAAATTTATGTTGCTAAATGAGACATTCGTTAAGTGAGTTTTGTCCTGTTTTATGAGCTTTCTTGCCACGGGTGTTAAGTAAATAAATTCAGTACAGTTTTTAAGTTAGTCACATGGTTAGTCACACAGTTAAGTGAATCTGGCTTCCTCATTGACTTTGCTTGTCAGAAGGTTATAAAGTGGATCACATGATCCCAGGACACTGCATAAATATGAGTCAGGTGCCAAGCATCTGAATTTTGATCATGTGCCCATAGGGATGCTCCAGTGGTTGGAAATGTAAAAAACAGTCATAGATCACTGTTCAGTTCTGTAACTTGGTCACTAAATGAACTGTTTTAAGTCGAGGTTTGTCTGTAGTAGAGGAACTGTTTTATAAAACATATAGTTCAATTACTTTGCCACAAACTTTGGATCTATGTTTATCATAGATAAGCAGCAGTGCCCTCAAAATATTTTGAACTGCAACTCTGTCAATAACTGGTCACTTGCTATGCTTGCTATGCCTCATGGAAATTTTAGTCTAGGAGGGAATCTGATTTTCTACCATTAAAGCAGAAGTTTTAGGTGATAACTCCAGGCAAAAATTCATTTGAGAACACTCTTTAAGTTAAAAAGTCATCTTCTGACTTGTATTTCTAAAGAAAAACATCTTCGATCTCATGAGAAAAATTACGATCTAATGCACTATGCAATTTTCGAGTAGAAGGTGCCATCAAGCTAGTAGCAGAGTTGGTTGTTTACATTGGCAGCAGAGTAAATCATGTGAAGCTGAGTTCCTTGTTAGTGCATTCATAGCTAGTATTGCAGAATCAGCAGTTAAGGCCAGGTTGTTTGCTTTTGCTGCAATTATGGCTATTCATCCAGTACAATATTTGATTCTGGTCTAGTGACGGAGATGATGTAACTATTCAAAAGAAAGCCTGGAGGGGACGGGGACAAATTTTTGGACTAAAATTCTTTCCTGTGCTTATTTCTATCCTTCATCAGTGACAGCATTATTCTTGGTACACCTACACAAAGCCTACAGAAAGCCTTAGTTTCTCAGAAAGTTTGTGTGACACGTCAACAATAGCGTAGGGTGTTTTGTCTTGATATGAGTGGTGCAATGTAATCATGGCCGTGGTCTCTGTGTTGCAAAATGTTAATAGCAGCTTCTCACTCATTAAACTGCTAATAGAAATCACATCATTATGGGGTGGGGGGGAATTAAACATATAACCTGCCTAAAAAAATGATGCAGTAATCATTCCAGAGCTTTCACTGAAAAATGATTCCAGGGGAGAGTTAATGTTGAACTTTCTGCTTTTTATTTTTGTTCTTGTTGCTTATATATTGCCTCTTTTGTTCCTTCTCGTCTCTAATTCTCTTAGAGAATTAGGTTTTAGGGTGCCCGTTGTCTTGCTTTCCCTGCTACCATTTTTCCACTCATTTCTGGCTGCCACAAGTGTTGATTAGTCTAAGAAATACTGTACTATTAACAACACCCAGAAATTATCTGGTATTGAAGATGGAATAAATTGTAGAAATTCATATTTAACATTTCTTATTTGTAGGAAGCTGTTTCTTAATTCATATGTATAATGAAATCGAAACTGAATATTAAATCAGAACTAGGCATCTTTTTTTCTATACTTTTTCTTCAGAAGTGACATCAGAAGAATGCAGAGCAATCAGTGAAATCATTCTATTTCCTTTTGTTTTTGCCACCTTCAGCCTTTCATTCCCTACAATCCATATTCTCCTGAAATAATATTTTTGGGGAAGGGTTGCTTTCAAATCGACTTCTGGTGACAGTCCACAACTAAACCCTACAATTATTTGGCAATTTCTTTTTTTGGGGGGGGAGTAAGGGGCAGGTTTGCCATTGCCTCCTTCCTAGGGTGGGAAAGCGGGTGACTGGCCCAGGGTCACCCAGCTTGGTTTCATGCCGAAGGCAATACTACAACTTGGAGTCTCCCAGTTTCTAGCCTGGCGCCTTAACCCACTACACCAAATTCACTCTCTAAATTATCTCCCCCCTTCCCCCCAAAAAAACCTACGAATATTTCAATGATCCAAAACCTAATAGCTCTACTCTAAAATCATATGTCATCTAAATCCAAGTCTTCTCAAAGGTAAGAATAGTGTTTTGGCAATGGAACAAAGAAAGTGGTGGGCTCCACCTTTTCATTGCACCTGTTCAAGCAGAGGCCAGTCAGAGCCCTCTGTCTGTCTGGTTTATTTTGGATTACTGTACTAAATGGAGAATGGGAATTGAGCTAACTAGCCCCTGCCAACTATCGGATTCAGTCCTACAGAAGAATAAGTCCAGACTAATATGCCCCTTCCTCAAAATATCTTTCAGTGTAACTCCAGAGCCTGAAAATCAAGAAAGAAAGAAAGAAAAATACTGCCTTCAAAGAACTTGAAAGAAACAGTTTAGTTGCACAGAAACATGAAGCAAATATTTCCTGGTCTTACAGGTAGTCCTCAACTTAACGACCACAATTGGGCCCAAACTTTCTGTCGTTAATTGAAAAGTTAAGTTAATTTTGCCCCATTTTACGACCTTTCATGCCACAGTTCTTAAGGGAATCACTGTGGTTGTTAAGTTAGTAACACAGTTGTTAAGTGAATATGGCTTCTCCATTGACTTTGCTTGTCAGGTGAACACATGACTCTGGGACGCTGCAAACATCACAAATAGGAGTCAGTTGCCAAGCATCCGAATTTTGATCATGTGACCATAGGGAATGCTGCAACAGTCATAAGTATGAAACTGTTGTACGTTGAGGACTACTTGTATTTTTCTTTTTTATCTTTCCCTTTTTAGATTAGTCCAACCACAGAAGAAGCTTTTGTAAGCATAAAAATAAAGCTAGAGGTAGGGTCCTCCCTTTATTTCTGAAATAGGAACATGCTGGTTGGGGTTGATGGGAAATGGGAGCTCAAGAACACCCAGACAGCTGCAAATTCTCTATCTCTGGGTTAGAATTTTGCTTCTCCTGTAAAGGAGAATGAGGGGCAAAGAAAGAGCAGGTAGAAAAGGAAGGAGAATATTTTACAGTCCTGTAGGGAGTGAAAGAGAGACTCGTGTCCTACTCCACCGCACTTCCAGAATGATTGTCTGCATCCCATATTCAGTAAACAATTGGAATGGCAGGGGATAGGAAAAGGGAACCGTAGCCACTTCTACCTCTAAACACCTTGTCCCAGGCAATCTCTCAGGATCATACACAAGCACATGCGCGCATGAACGCTCGCTCATGCACATACATTTTTCTATTAAATGTTTTTTCAGAAGCAATAGGCGGTTCTTGCAAAGCAGGATCAGAGAGATTGCTCAGATTTGTTCCAGGGCCCAAGGAGGAAGGGCTAGGCATGCAAGAGCCAAAGGAGAAATATTGCTGGCCAAATGTGGCCAGCAGGTCAACGTTTCCGGTTATCTGTTTTGGCTCTTTCTCAGATGATTCAGGAGGTGATTGCAAAGCATAAGAAATGGTGAGGTTAACAGAGGCAAACTAAGTTGAAATTTGATTACAAAGGGCCAGTATCTGTAGGGTACCATACTGTCATTGTTAGCCAATTAAACACTTGTTTTATTTGTCAGTGACTTTAACAGCCATTAATTTGTTAACTGTTTATGCCACCCAAAACTTAAATGCAGGAGTTACTTAAGACATCAAAGTTCAATAATTTTAAAAAGTATAAACTTAATTATTATATATATTTAAAGAAATAAATGTTAACCGATTTTGTTCTGCTGCCAGTCATTCTAAAGTTCTAAAGTACAGTTGGATAGGTCTTGTTTTACCTAGGATAATAATAAAACAAAGTGCTGTTTATAGATGCCTCTTTTCAGCCAAGGTTGAAAATAATTGTATGTACATCAAAACCCCAGAATTATAAGTATGTTCTTTATTTGCTTAATTCCAAAGTTCCAACAAAAAAGAAGAGCTCCCAAAAGGTAGAGACATTTCCTTCTTAATAAACTTTGAGCAACTATAGATCTCCTGCATTTTATACTGAGTTAAAATTTGATATGAGGAAAAATAGATTTTAGGCACTGCTTGAAAAATGCTGAATGGATCATAAACTCAGCATCTTTTTATTTAATACAATTAAATTGCAATGAGTAATTCTTGGCTTTCAGTTAGTTTGCTTTGCTCATTGGTAAAATAGTGTGGTGTGGTTTTGAATTGGCTGACTCCAGTAATAAATAGCATGCCTAAAATTACATTCTACTGACATGGTTCACATGCTGAATGTGAAACAAATTGAGCCCTGCATAATGTGGCACCATAGTGACTGACCACAAACAGATTCAAAGGTTCTTTGGTGGTGATTGGAATAAATAATAATTGCTACATTTTGGAGCCAAAAACTTAGGTCAGTGTGCATGCTGAAACCTTTTTTTTTTTTGGCTAGGGCTGTAAACACACAATCTGTATATGCCTTCAGATTTGCTTAGACAACAGAGCACACTATTAAGTTTATATATTTGCAAAATTATTTGATGGTTACTTGAAGGGTTATCTTCTTCTGGTCACAATCTACCAGAGTGGGGAGGCAAGAAATGCTGTGGTTCCGCTCTCCTAAAGAGATACTTCTAGTGGGACTAAGAAGAAGAGCCTTCTCCATGATAGCTCCCTCCCTGTGATCTATGGATCGTCTCTGTGGAGATAAGATTGGCCCTCACTTTCACACTCTTTCACAAGTCCCCGAAGATTTAGTTTTGTCAGCCGGCCAAGGAACACAGAGTGGGATGGAGCCCATCAAGTGGCTTATTTGATTGACTGACAATTGTTAGGGTATTTGGTGGGGGGGGAGTAGTTACAGCTTTTTATTGTTATTTTATATGGGATTTTTATCTTTATAAGCTGCCTGAAGTCACTGAGAGTGAGTCATATAAATTTTTAAAATAAAAGATACGTTTATTTATTTGGGGGAGCCTGTAGATCACTGTTCTATTTTGTTTGAATCACTATATATTTGCAAGAGATTAACTATTTTTGCAAGGAAGTTCGTAAGAAAATTCAGTTTATTTCTGAAAAAAGTAAGCTATTATATGGAGCAGATATGAAAATAAACCCAGCCTTTTGGCAATTCCTACAGTTTCTAACTCAATAGAATGAACAAATGCAGTCCCTTTGATGACATAATGTTGGGAAGTAATCCACCAAACATGTATTTTTGTTTATGTCCAATAAAATCCAGGTTTTTGTAATTCTTAAATCTCTTCTGACAGAAGGTAGCAGCATTTCCTAGGGATATAATAACTTTTCAGCTATTAGGGTGCAGCACATACCTTCCCTAATTGCTGTCTTTAAAATAAACGTGCAAGCTAGTATTAATATCATCTTATTAGAGATAGCAAAGGACAGAAGCTGCAGGCTGTAAAGACTTCATGATACAATTCATACTAAAGACTCTGATTTGTAGCTCAATCATTTTAATCACGATGCCAACCCAAATTAGGTTAACCATTTATAGCTCAAAATAGCAAAGTGATGATTAGAGTCATTGAATCATAGAGTTGGAAGGGACCATAAACAATCAAGTCCAAACCTCTCCTCAGTTTGAGAATTCAAGTGAAAGCATCACAGCCAATTGATATCTGACCTCTGCTTTTACACATTAAGTGAAACAAACCACAGTCTCACTAGACCATTGATTCCTAATCAAACTGCCCTTGTTGTTCAGGATGTTTCCCTAATAATCAGGATCTGCTTTCCTATATTTTTAATTGCATGTCTTGTACTCTGGAACAAAAGAAAGCAGCTCTTGATCTTTTTCTGTGAGATATCCCATTCCCAAGTATTGGAAAAGTGCTATCAGACTGCCCTCCTTGTAGTTTGAACTGGAAACAGTTAATCCCAAAACTAGCCTGTCAGAGCTCTTATTGTTAAAAGGGAGATTATGTTCCTTTTAACAGTACAAACACTTCAGTAAACACTGTATTTTACTGTTAATTGTTGATCCTAAAAGGCAGAAGCTATCTACCACTTCAATATCTTCAGTGTCAATCCTAAGGCTGTTTATTTTACCTGTTGACATTAGTTTCATCATCTTTATACTTAATTTTGGCCCCATTTTTTTCATTGTGCTCCTTTACTTTTATTGCTAGAGTTTGGAGATTCTTTGCATTTTTGGCAATCAGGGTACTGTTATCAGCAAATGCAGATTATTGATGTTTCTTCCTCCAGTTTTAAAGCAGCATTCATCCTTTTCCAATCCAGCTTCCCTCAGTATAGTATATATTGAGTATATAGGTTGAATAAAATAGGGGGACAGTATACTGTTTGTTTTATTCCTTTGCCAACCTGTTTTGCCATGTTGGTCTGTACTATGGCATCCTGATCAGTATGTAGGTTTTACATAAAAACAGTGAAATGTTCTGAGATTTCCATTTTCCTAAGTATACTCAACATCTTGATGTAATCAACACAACTCGGTGAATCAATGAAACGTATTCTAACTTGTTTTGGGTATTCTTTGCCTTTCTCAATTATCCAACGTGCATCAACCATGATGTTTTGTCTTCCTTCACTTTTTCTAAAGCCAGATTGAACATAGGGGGACAGTATACTGTTTGTTTTATTCCTTTGCATGCAGAGTCTAACCTGCATTGGAGGAGTCTAAGAATTATTTTGCTTAAATTAATACAGTGTGCAATAGTTTGCACAATCTATTAAGTCTCTTTTGTTTGTTACCGATAGATAGATTGACTTCTTGCAATCTCAGGTCAAGTGCATCATTCTTCAGATTTGCTGCCATTGCTTGGTTAGAACTTTTACTGATTCTTCTCCTTTTCCTTGCCATATTTCTGTAGATTTTCTATTATTCCCTACAATGCTGATTTGGTAATGACTAGACTCTTGATATTACTTCATCAACAAAACTGATAGATAGAGTTTGTTGGAGAATTGAGAACAATTATTAAAACCAAGTACTTTGCAGTAACTAGGCAAGAAACTTTTATATTCTTATAATTTCATTTTTCTCAACTTTTAAAATACAGCTAAGGATTTTCTTTAACATTTTAAAGTTCCATTTGCATGCCATACTGCCTTAGAATTTTGTTAGGATACTAGAGTATGAATTCTGAATATGGCAGCATGTGCTGCTCAAACCATTCCAACATTTCTCCAATCAAACGGTTATGGCCTGTATGCCCATTCCAGAAAGAGTTTAGCTGGTGTTATTTGTCAGATTGCTGCTCTGGAACAAGCCTGTCCAAACTTGTTCTTTGCACCTAATTTGAATTGGGCTTAATTTTCAGTTCTATGTTTGCACAGGTGGTTTTTTGGGAAGATTCCTCGAGCAAGGGCTGAGGAGATGCTGGGTAAACAAAGACATGATGGTGCCTTCCTCATCAGGGAGAGTGAAAGTGCTCCTGGTGATTTCTCCCTCTCAGTCAAGTGAGTATTACTTTTGGATTGATTTGATCTAATTTGATTGATGGCCTGGCTGCAGTCTTTGAAACTTCTGTTATTGGCTGGAACAAAGAAAGAAAGTGAGTTTTAAAAAGTGTCCTTTAGTGCAAGGATAGCCACATTAGGCTTTCATAGTAAAAAAAAAAACCTAACTTACCACAGTTCTGAAGATTTTTTGGCTCATGGTCCTCTTTGGATACTGACACTAGAGGTTATGAAGGAAAAAATGGTGTCTCAGCCCACTGGCGATGAATTTAGTATTGTCAGCAACTCCCTAAAACTCCAGTGCTTTATATGAGGCAGCCCTAGGATCCAAAGACAATGCATTGGGTTAAAAAGTTGCAGATATGTGTGATGTTTGTGCCAGAGGATCCAGATGCCTTTTGCCTTCCAGTCCAAAGTGATACATGATCCCCACATTGGAAATTTTAAAAAAGTTATCCGTAGCTACATACCTGTTTCTAATTCAAGTGCATTCACTACCAAAAGAGGCTTTCAGAATGTTTTTTTGCTCCCAGTCTTGTGGCCTAACAGAAAAATAAAGTACTTTGCTAAATCAACCTTGTGTTGTGCAATGTTTTAAAATGTAAAAAGAAGGAACGGAGGGGCCTTCTTTTAATATCCAGGCTTAATGCCTGGATATTAAGCCTGACTGTCCTTTTGTTTATCCACATTTAGAGGTTGCCTGACTCCTTAGCAACTATGGATGGCTAATAGAGATAAAAGTTTGTTTTGTTTGTTTAAAAAAAGGACCTTGGCCAACCAGACTGGACTCATTCTTGGATTTAACTTTAAGTACTGGTATTCAGGTTTTGGTAATACACTGATATACACTGATAGGTATTCAGGTTTTGGTAATACACTGATAATAAATGTGTGATAGAAATGAGAATTTCAAGACTTGAAAAAATGAATAGAGCTTTCATTTGACACAATTTATATGCACTTATTTCCTTGACTTGTCACATTGACTGCTGGCTTGTACTGCCACCTCATGTTTAGAAATCCTCAAAACTCCAATGTGCATTTCCCTTGGCTGAAGATTAACCCTGTAGATGTGCAAGAAAAGAATGTTCCTTTCCTGGGAGAAATGTTAAAGTACATCTGGCATGTTTTTTCCCGTTCTTTTTAGATTCGGAAATGATGTGCAGCACTTCAAGGTGCTTCGAGACGGTGCTGGCAAGTATTTCCTCTGGGTGGTAAAATTCAATTCTCTGAATGAGCTGGTAGATTATCACAGATCAACCTCTGTCTCCAGGAACCAACAGATATTCCTCCGAGACATTGAGCAAGTGCCTCAGGTAAGAAATTTTTTGGAGTTTTCCTAATCATAATACTACCTTTATTCTTTATGAATACTGTAAGAATGTCTTTTTTAGTGCGTGGGAAGGTTTTTCCATGAAGGATAGGTAAAACCTTGGTGACTTACAAAGACAAATTGTGTTAGGTGTTAATTCTGTTTTCAATAATGACACTATTTTTAAAAGCTATATAACGCATTCTTTAAGCCAGACCCTCAAGGATTTTTTAAAATTATACAATAAAGAAGTACAACAGAACACACTCTTTCTGAAATAGCTGATAAGTTTTTGAGACATGCATGAAGCTGCCAAAAAGAAAAGCTATTTCTGGTGATGTTAACAGAGGATGCGGTTCAACATTTTTAAATGCCTTGGCAATTTAAAAAAAAAATGTGCCAAGTGCCAAGGAGATACTACACTTGACAATGTTTGTGGAGGAGAGCTTTCTACCTGGGGGCTGGGGGAGCTGAGCAGTACCACAGGTCAGCTGTTTTTCTCTCAGCTGATTAGCAGAGCAAAGTTGCCTCCCAAAATCCAGTCGTAGAGGAGGAGATGCAGGGAGGCAGCCGCTTGGCTTCTGTCCTCCTTTCTGAGATTGCCCTGGGAAAATGGGAAGCTGAGGAGTCTGGGGCATTGCAACGAGGTAGTGTGGAAATGATGACAACATGTAGGCAAGTGAGGCCCTTGGGATAGAGGACTTTGACAGCCAGTTGATTGCGGAGGCTGAAGTAAGTCAGCAACTTTGTAGGAGAGCCATCCAGTGTTTGGTGACTGCCCCATGTCCGGTCGGTTTGTAAAAAAAAACTTACTTCATCCATAACTTGACTGTATGAGGGGGCTGACTCAGTCTGCAGCACCAAAACTTGGTAGAGTATGGGGGGACGGGGGGGTGGGTGTCCGCCCTCTGAAATGTGCCTCCCAGATGCCAGTTGTGATTCCATGGCATGGATGAGGGTATGGTTGTATTACTTGTAAAACTGGTAGCTGCTAAGGACATTGGCCCAGAAATTGCCAGTTGTGAGACCCTCCGTGTGAGCCTGGGGTGAGTGGGGATTGTTGCTCACTTACTTTCCTCATTGCAGTGTTAGCATCCCTGCTTTGGCTCTTGGACTCTGTATCTAGGTTGGTGGAGGAGTTCCGTAGGCTTATGGTTTTGAGGGATTTCATTCTTTCTTCCCTGTGCCCAGAGTCTGAGGTAGCACAGCAGTTCAGGGCAGCTATGGACCTGGGCTATCATTGGGAAGGTTGCAAATGGTGATCACATGATCCCAGGACATTGCATTCGTCGTAAAAACATGCCAGTTGCCAAGCGCACGAGTTTTGATCATGGGGGTATTGTGACATAATTGTGAGAACCAGTCGTGAATCACTTTTTTCAGTGTCATTGTAACTTCAAACCATCACTAAACAAATGGTTATAAGTTGAGGACTACCTGTATAGATGTGTTTTTTTATTTTGTTTTTAAAATGGATTCATTTGAATAGCCTTTGTTGTAAAGCAACCTCATGTGTATCAAAATTACATCTGCGCAGTAAGATGATAAAGAGTTAATAATTCACTGCCCAATGTTTGTAGATCTATTTCATATTTTAGATACAACCTCAAGAATTCAAAAAGCTGCTCCCTTTTATCATAAGACTTTTTAAAGCTGTGGTTGGTTATAAAATTCAGTCTTGACATTTTATGTATATCAGAATAAGCATGGTATAGAAGGAAGATTTGATGCTGTTTCTATAACTCGCAAACCAAGACGCTATTTGTAGACATCTCTCAGTATCAACAGCTTCAGATGTACTGACTGTAGGCTAGAGACCATAATTTGTGTCACAAAAAGAAAAACGAGCGAGTTGGAGGCCTCAATAAATTAATCCCCTGTTCTCTTCTTTACAGCAACCCTCATACGTACAGGCTCTTTTTGATTTCGACCCTCAGGAGGAGGGAGAGCTGGGCTTTCGCCGTGGAGACTTTATCCAGGTCCTTGACAATTCTGACCCCAACTGGTGGAAAGGAGCCTGCCACGGACAAACAGGCATGTTTCCACGCAACTACGTTACCCCCGTGAACCGGAACATCTAGAGCAGATGGCTAAAGATTATTTAAGGAAAGAGGAAAAAACAGTACAGTCCGCATTCAGAACCTAACAGCAGCCAGAGATCTCCAGTCATCAGGCCATAAAACCGAGTCCCCTCAGGTCTGCATGAGGGGGAACACTTTTTTTCACTCAGAATGGAACTTTGTGGGGAGGGAACAGGAGAAGGGTCCAACTTATGCACCAAAACTTTTCTTTAAATTAAAATGGATATTAACAGATTTCTTTGGTTATTTCTGGGGTGGCCCTTTTTGTTCACTGGTCCTTTTTCTCCCCAACACCAGTGCATCAGTGTATGAAGTGTTACTGCTAAATGAAGTCCATGCTATGCCAGGAAGAGAGGAAGCTCTGTTGATATCTGCTATTCATGCATACGGTCTTCGGGAAGGGACTGAGAGAGGAAGCCAAATATATTAGCCAGTTTAAACACACACAACACTTATGCTTCTACCTTCAGTGTTTTGCCTAAGATAAGGTCTTAATTTTTTTCCTCACTGCTTTTCAGTCTGAAAGTTGTTCAGCTGTGGAGCAGAGGGGAAGATGGTAAATAGGTTGTAGGATTTTTCTGAGAAAACCTGCATTACAACCAGATCACGTTTTCATTAAACGTGACAGCTTTTACTTTTCTTTTTAATCATGTGACTGAGCATGTTCTTCTGTTTTTTTTTTAATTAGTGCCTTTTCCCTTGTTTAACAAAAAACAGTTCACAATTTTCAGTTTGTTTCTGTTTTTTATGTAAATATTTAAGGAATTGAATGAGAGGAATGTAACTTTATTACATGAAAAAGATCTCCATTCACCAGATGGAGCTTTAAAATATGTATAAGCATTTGATATTTTTCATACTAGTTGGGAAAAAGGCATAAAATGTCCCAAAACTCAGAGCCTGGGGTTCTTGAGCAAGAGAGAGAAAATAGCCCCAGTTTGGGGTGGGGGGTGGGGGGGAGGCATATTTTACAAAGCCTAGGATGAAATTCCAAATTATTTTCCCCAAAGACAGTAAGGCCTCAAGAAATTGGGCTTAATTATAGCGAATGGTTGACCCTAATGTTTGAGGAGAAGCAGTTCAGTCTGTCCAGAGTTGGCTTGACTCACAGTTGCAGTCGGTGACTATCTTCCAGCAGTTCCCCATTTTGCTCACCAGTATTACGGTAGCTGGAAGAATCATCTTTCTTACTCTCAAATCCCAGAAGGGAGATTGTATTCAACTTTTAATCCTGATTAAACTCATAGGTGCCATGCATATTACGATGAATGACTTAGACTTTTAAGACCAGGGAGAGCAACCTGCAGAGCTCCTGTGCCAACCAGTTACCTTATTTCCTTTTGCTGAGCCGCATACCTGGAACTTCTCTACCTTAGTAACAGACCCCAAAACTACCACAGAGACCTTCCCTTATGGAAGAGCATTGTTCTGCCCAGATCGGGGTAGGGGGGGAGGGACCCTGTGTTGGTGGGTGCCTTTTTATACTAAGTGTTACAGGTATTATTCCTGAGATGGACTCTGCCTTATATTTCCATTTCTCTCAGCAGGTGAAAAAAAACAAAGAAAGCTACCCTGTAGCATATTAATTTCTCATGTTTTTCTTGCTATCTTTCTCTCCATTCCCCCCGTCCCCACTTTCTTTTTTAAAATTATTGGAAAAGAAATTATGGCATTCTACATTTGGACCATTTGATTGTTTTTCTTATTTTGGAATTGGTGTATATCATGCAACCTTGCAGACATAATGTCTTGTGTGTATATATATATATTAAATCAGTGTTTAAATAAAACAGGCCTATGTACGTAATCCGTTAACGCAGCAGGAGCATTTGGTAGATAGTAATTAACTGTGAATAATAAATATACAACAAATTCTTCACTTGAATATCAGTGTCTTCTTTATTAACACTTACAATTAAATAACACATGTAAAGAATCAGTGGGGGTTTGGTTATAGTAACAGGCTGGAGATTATACTCTCAGAAATGGGAAGGACCAGATAAAAACTTAACTTTGATTTAAATTAAAATTATTACTCTAGCTTCCCTTTGGAGCACATAAAGCAGGGAAAACCTGCTGAGCATACCTCCTTGATAAGCAAGAGTTGTGAAGTGAGTTTTGCTCCATTTTACAATCTTTCTTGCCATAAGTGAATCCCTTGTTAAGTTAGTAATGTGGTTAAAGGAATTTCCCCATTGACTTTGTCAGAAGGTTGCAAGTGATGATGATATGACACCACTGCAACCATCATAAATACATGCCAGTTGCCAAGCGTCCAAATTTTGATCATGTGACCATGGGGATACTACAACAGTCATAAGTGAAAAACTAATGAAAAAGTGCTTTTTTTTAGCGCCATTGTAACTTCAAGCAGTCACTAAAAGAATGGTTGCAATCTCTGCACTTTTTCACCAGGGATAATTAGGGCCTGGGTGTATATGGATGTTTGTTTACTGAGCAGGGTACAAAATTAGCTTCACTATTTCTTATCTTCTGCTTTTCAGTTCCACAGCTCTATATGCTTTCATCCAGAATGATTCCTTGCTGCACACAGCTATCCCTTGGTTTCTCACAGGTTTTGAAAGTGTCTTGAAAGAAGAGGCACTTTAGCAGTTTTATTGAATGCAGTGTGCTTTCTATTCTGAGAGAATTTGTTATATCTAAGGACCAGTTTTGGAGGACAGAGGCATCTATTATGGGCCTTTATGAAAGAATGTACTGTGTCATTCAATCTGGGGACTGCTTTTTCTCAGTTAATCTTGCATTGGATGCTTTAATCTCTTTGCTACAATTTTAACAGAATGGCTCAGAAATTAAAAGCATACCTTTCTTAAGGATTTTCCTATTTTTATCCAATTAAGATTGTTGTTTATTCCCCAAATAACCAAGTATTATACAATATGTAGTATGTTCTTACAATACATTTAATTCAACCAGTTTTCTGAATTTGCATAATATATCTAAGCATGCAAATAGGTTTTCTTAACACTTTGCGCAATAGAACATGGGTTGGTTTGTGATTTTATCAGCTTTTTAACCGAACTTTTTCCAGACTCAAAACAAAGATGATTTTGAGTTCAAGAAATCAGATTATAACCTTGGGTACAGGTTTCTGTAATTCCATGATATAAAGGCTACAAATATTTTAGTTTGGATGACCAAATGGCTGTGTGTGCACATGACATGCTGAATTGTAAATTAGCCAATCACATTTTATCCAGTGTGTTTTGCACACTTGGCGCAAGTACTTAGTTTGTGGATCAGTCACAATAAGGTCAATTGAGTAAATCACACTCTCCAAAATTCAGATGGGCCCATCAGACAAACAAGTTGGAGAGGTTTGTTGTCTGCTTGATTTTGAATTTAAAAAGAAGCTTTTAATTTGGCATTATTGCAGAATGGAATTTATACTTTTTTATACTTTAACTTCATCCCAATTCTAGATATGCTGCAGGGAAATTAAAATACAAGAGCAAAACTGTTTTGAAACAATTCTTTTAGTTCTCTTGATAACCTACCACCAATGTGATCTTTGCTGAGTTCTGCTCGCAAATTGTGTTCCATTCTGCATACAAAATGTATTTTAGGCAAATATCACCTCTCTAGATGACATATTCATCCAAGCTTATATTTAAAAAGGAAAAACATACACTTACCTGTTACTTAAATTGTTAGCTGTGCAGTAGAAGGCATATGGCTGACATTTAAATCTTGGCTGCCAGTGAGCCTGTGCTGCCACTACTCTAAATAGACATTAAGTAACCACAGCAACAACAAACTTGCAATATAGGCGTTCAGGCAGAGTCAGCCTTCTCCAAATCCCATTACTTAAATTTGTCGTCTTATGGGACAATGGAAGCATGCCTTCTTTGGGGCAGCCTCGGCCCCCTGGAACACCATTCCCAGAGATACAAGGGGTTCCCTCTCTCCTTGCTTTCTAGAAATCTCTTAGACTGGCTGTGGTCCCATGTCTGGGATTGGGGTGGCTGTGGAGCAGAGTTAGGGAGTGTCATTTTGGTCCAGGCAGTCCTAAGGTTTCTAGTAAGTGTTTTTAATATATGTATTGGAATAGTTGTATCCTCCCAGAATTGGATGGCCTTACCAAATCCATTTTTTAAAAAAAAAAAAAAAAACCTCATTCAACATTAGAAAAAATGTGAAGCACTTTGATTAGATACGTGTTTGGGGACAATCCTTGGGGATTCAGCCACGGGTATCTATGCAGGTAAAGAGCAAGGTCAGAGTGGGAGCCCAGAAGTTTGTTACTATTAGATAATAATAATTTGAGATCAGGTCTTCTCCTGTGGTCTTTCCTGATCTTAGTTGAACAACAAGATTCTTCATCTCTCTCACTGTCACTAATCCTCACATTGCTGGGTTTTCTATAGTTTGGCTAGGACTTCCACTTTTCACAGAGTATCCATGTATAGTTCTTGAAAACGTGCCCTCCCGAGTCTTTGGGGGAACGTGGCAGTCCACCATGGATGGACCGTTGCTTTGGGAGCTTGATGTCATGTGATGGAATTGAGTCTTTGGGTCTTTGACTGCCTGAATGAGATGTGCCCGCTTGTTTCTTATGGCTTCCTTTTTCTTGCATGTCAGCCGTGGTTTATAGCGTCTCTTCTGTTGGAAGAAATCCGGTGCAGCTTATGCTATGTTGGATATACAAGCTTGGTAAGTGGTAGTGAGAGGGTTGTGGTTTTTTGCCACTAACACAGTCCTGGTCAAACCATGATTTGAAGTGGCATTGTTGTCTTGAGGGTGCATCATTTACCATGGGTTAAATATTGGTGGAGCTCTTAGACATGGGCATTACAGTTTTCTAAAAGTGCATCAGGAGGCTCAGTTGATATCAGGGCAGACTGTAGGTACCGTCAATGATCTGAGGCCAATAGCTTGGTTATCATTTGGTTTAAATATTAGCTCGGTGGTAAATTCTTCCTGCTGGCTTTAATAAGGGTTGGTAGCAACCCTCAGTATATGTTCCTTGAGTGAAAACATTTAAATAAAGCAAATTGGGAGATGATCACTATCAAACTTAGGAGTAACTTCTAGGGCCTTGAGAAAAGGGAGAAGGTCCCTAGAAACAATTATATAATACACTGCACACTTTCTGGAGCCAGATAGATAGGTTGGTTTGGCTATATGGTCAAAGGCCCCATTTAGAATGTAGTGGTTAACTTACCAAGACTGTTTAAGCCACTCAGAGATCTGCAATGTTTGATAGTTGATTCTTTGACCTATGTGTGAGGAGAAATCTGTTGTCTTCAGGATTGTGAGGATGTCATTTCTGCTTTGTGTAGAGCAGTGATCCCCAACCTTTTTTATGCCGCGGCCCGGTACCGGCATCAGCTGGGCGCCGCGGCCCGGTACTGGCATCAACTGGGCGCCGCCATCTTTTTTTGATGAAAAAGTGCTTCCGGTGAGCTTTCTACCCGGAAAAGCTCACCGGAAGCACTTTTTTATCAAAAAAAGATGGCGGCGCCCAGCAACCAGCGGCCTGGTAAGACTTGTTCCGCGGACCGGTACCGGTCCGCGGACCGGCGGTTGGGGACCCCTGGTGTAGAGGGTGTGATCATTAGAGCCCAATCATTGAGATTTTGTCCTAGGACTACAAATGCATTTGGATACATCGGTAGCATATATTTTCAGTTCAGTCCACAAGGCTTTGATCTGGGGTGTTTTGTCTCATTCAAAGCATATAAGTATTTATTATCTACAAGACTTCACGATAAAATTGTATTAATACTGCCATGGCATATGTTGAATGGAAGGAAGGGCCTTGATATGGCAATGAAGTGTAGTAGACACTAGGATCCTCAGCTCTCAGAGTCTGCTGGAAATCTGAAGGGGAGATTTAATAGAACTGATCCAGCATAAGTGCCCTTCTTCTCTGATGCAGCATCCAGAGGTCTCCAATAACAAAGATGCCAATAGAGGTAGTCCTCAACTTACAAGAGTTCATTTAGTGATGGTTCGAAGTTACAATGGCACTGAAAAAAGTGACTTATGACCATTTTCCAGAGTTATGACCGTTGTTGTTATCTCAGGGGTGTCAAACGGGAGGCCCATAGGCTGGATGCATAGGCCATGCCCACCCCAGCTCCGCAAAGGGAAAAAACATTGTGAAATATGACAGCAACATGATGCCGCGAGTTTGACACCCATGCCGTCATGTGATCAAAATTCAGATGCTTGGTAATTTGACTCATATTTATGACAGTTGTGGTGTTTTGGGGTCGTGACTGCCTTTTGCAACCTTCTGACAAAGTCACTGGGAAAGCCAGATTCCCTTGATAACTGTGTTACTGACTTTACTGACATTCAACAACTGTGGCAAGAAAGGTCATGAGGCAAAATTTACTTAACTATCTCACCTAGCAACAGAAATTTTGAGTTGAATTGTCATAAGTCGAGGACTACCTGTATTTTAATTCAAGCAGTTCAAGCCTTCAGTCCAATTTGCCAAGGAGGCGTGACCGCTTCTGTCCCTGGTGTTCCTCCTACCCGGCTCAGTTCCTGCGCCTCCTCAGAGGAGCAGCCGCTGCCGCTGCTGCAAAGAGAAGGGCAGAGTGACTAGCCAGCCAATGCAGCCACTCGCACACTAGATGCACCATGGGCTGGAACCGCACAAGAACCCCATTCAGGCGGAGGGAGGGAAGCCCTGGCCCGCCCGTCCTGGCCCACAGCTCTGCCCCTCTCCGGGCTGTTGCAGTGCCGCTTCCAGGTGGGATGCTGGAGGAGGAGGTGCCTGAATGGAGACACCACTGAGGCCCTGGCTCGCCAGTGTCTGAGCAACTGCGGTGGCTGGACAGTGGTGGCTGCTCTTCTGGGGCGGCGCAGGAGCTGAGCCCAGTGGGAGGAACGCCGGGGACAGAAGTGGTCGTGCCTCCTTGGCAAATTGGTGGGAAGGGGGAGAACTTGCTTCCTCAGGTAAGATGCCAGGCTCTACTCTCCTTGCATCCTGGAAGGCTCTTAAAAACATTTTGTTAAAAGTGAACCTTTGGTTTATGATGTGATTATGGACAGGCATCTGAGCATGCTATGGTTTATTTATTAAACTGATTGCTTATTATGAATATTTTCAGATTTGGTTTTTTCCCCTATTGTGTGTTGTCCAGTTTTTTTCTGATTGATATGGTTTACAGATACTGTATATACAGTATTTGAAAAGAAATTTCATCTCCTCTCACAAATCTGTTTGCTATTTTATTTCAATGGCATGATGTGATGGTACTTTGGGACTGCCCCAATATGGCAGAGGTTTATAGGCAAATCACAGCTTCCCCCTTTCCCCTTCTTCAAAGCAGTCAATCCTGCTATGTGATTGCACAATGTCTTTAAAGCAGTACAATTTCTATATTATGTTCAGAGGAAATCTATGGTACATTGTTAGCTAGATTGCCAAATAGATTGCCAATTCACTGATTCCAGATGAAGGATGTAGCTGACACACCAGCATTACCTGGTAAAAGAGGCTGAGTTCATATATTACCCTGATTTATTTAATAGAATAAAATACAATTCTTTATTGGCCAAGTGTGATTTGGAAGGAATTTGTCTTGGTGCAAATGCTTTCAATAATGGTTTGATGAGTGAGACACAAAAGTCTGGATTTCTAATTATCCTAAGCTAGTTTGTTTAACAATACCTTATTGAATAATGTATTAACATTTCTTTAAAATTACATTACTCCACAAACTGATAATTTTGTACTAGCTTAGTTCATGTGTGAATTCAGCCATGTGATTTTGATTTGCATTAGTTTCCCTCAAACTTGGCAACTTCAGATGGCATTGGATTTCAACTCTTATAACATCAGATCTTATTAAAACCAAACATAATTGAAGAGTACCAGGTTCAACTACACAAAGTATGCACAGCTAAATAGTCTTTGTTTTCCTTTGGTACCCCAACCTGGAGTTAGGAATAAAAACTCAAACTCTGATAGTGTAAGATCGGGGCTGCTTGTTGAAGTAGCTTCACCAAGTAATACAAACGGTGGAAACGACAGGAAAACTCGTTTCGGTTCATCCTCTGAACAGATGTTATCTTTGATAGATATGGGACTAAATTATGCTCGCAAACTATATTATACACCGCTTTGTGGTGGCAGGGAAAAAACGTCTTCAAAATTTGTGCATGGCTGCCACGCCTTAATAAGAAGCCCACAAGAAACAGAGACACACCTCCCTTCTTTCCTATCCCTGCAACTAGAAAATGGGAAAGGTTTGCTGTGCCGTCCCCATGTACAGATGTTTCCAGAGAAATACGAGACTTCTTTACTGAAGTCTCCTGGTGCTGCCGTCGTCGAGAATAAATTACCGGGGAGTCACGGGAGTGGCGTCCAGCAGTCGGAAAGGATCTGTATTTTACTTCTTCTCTGGGTTGTGCGGTTCCTTTGGCTAATTTTTAAGAAATCGGTCCCAGACCACTTAAAACGGGTCCGCCTATGGCCGTTCATCAGAGCCTTTTTAAAAGAAAGCCTTCGCTTCCCCCTTTTTTCCCGCCTCGCTCCTCAGGCACCACAGCACTGCAGACTACATTTCCCAGGGAGCCCGGCGGCTGTCATCCCGAGCGAGAGCCGCGTGAGGTCGTCCTTCAAGACCCGTCCTTCGGGTCCTCGGGTGGAGCCGGGTTGACTCCTTGCCAAGGCTCCGATTGGTCGCCGCATTTCGTTGCCGTGGGAAGCCGCGCTCTTGGGTGAGCCTCGCTGGAGCCGAAGGAGGGTCGCGATGCCCGGGGAGGGTCGCAGAGGGGAAACCTGGGCTGGGAGTGGTGGTGGTGGTGGTGCTGCCGCGTCTATTTCTCAAGGCAGCCACAAAATCAGCCGCCGGGCAGGCTGATTGAGGACGACACGTGCTCGGTTCACGGCCGCGCAAAGCCGGCGCGCGGCTCTTCAGTGCTGCGGGGGAATGGAACTTTAAACATGCTCAGATGCACTGTTTTCTCTTTGTAAACACACACACACACACACAGGGTCTCAGCTGTAGCTGAAGCTCTCCGGCGTCCGCTCTCGATCCGACTCTTTTTTTTTTTTTTTTGCCCTTTGCCTCCAGTGTTGGTGCCCGGGTGGGGTCGTGCATGGAGAGCAAGGTCCGTAGACCTTGTAGGGATGGTTGGCTATGATCCGGATTCCGAGTGTAGCTCCCTTTCGACTCTGAAAGTAGCGGCGGCAGGATCCGCTTCCGGATTGGTCACTCGGGCAATGATCGGCCCTTTTGATGTGCTGAAGATTCGATTTCAGGTATTATCTTTATGACGTCGGACAATCAAGAGGAAGGTGGATAACGGACGGAGCGTTAACGTTCTTCTGAGGAGCTGATTTGGCCGTTAGCTTTGCATTTCCAGAGGCTGTATAATTTAATGACAGAGCCCGCTGTTTTTATCCCCTCAGCTGCTTGCATAATGTTTGCATCAAGACAGAAACGCAGCTGACTGTTCCTTCACCTGAAGATGTTGGTCCCCGTTTAAAGGAACAGAAGGTGGCTCTTTAGCTACTACAGGAGCTACTACAGGAGTTACGATAGTTGTATGGAATCGGAGGCAGGTGGTGACAGGTATCTTCCTGACATACTTGGCTTGTGAGATGGACTTTCACAAGCATCTGAAGAGCCCCTTGGGAAGAGTGTACTAACTAGAAAGCCTTCCCGCTTGATTTAGCATAGTAGTTCCTGTGCTTGTATTGTGCAACTCAGTGTAGTGGTTTTCCTTGGGTGTTGCACTGCTTTGGCAAGGAAGCGTGATGATTATTACTTAGGGATGTTTAAAGATTTGCTTTGTTTACTCCAGGGTTTTTTTAAAAAATATTTTGGCCCCTTGAAAAGATGATTAACCGAATTTCCCTTCTACATATTCTAAACTTTTGGGAAGATTTTGTAGTCTAATATTTTCACTTTCTAACCTGCACAAAGTTTGGGATGAGCCTCCTGAAATTAGAGGCCAGTGTTGTATGTGTGACCTTCCAGGTGATTGAAGTTGCTGGAAGGCTAAGGAGGCCTATGCCTATTCTAAAGTAGCAAAGTAAATACAGGTAGTCCTTGACTTATGATCACAATTGAGGCCAGAATTTATGTGGCTAAGTGAGAAATTTGTTAAGTGAGTTTTGCCCCATTTTATGACTTTTCTTGCCACATTTGTTAAGTGAATCGTTGCAGTTGTTAAATTAGTAACCTAGTTGTTAAGTGAATCTGGCTTCCCCATTGACTTTGCTTGTCAGAAGGTCACAAAAGATGATCACATGTCCTTGGGACACTGCAACCTTCATAAATATGAACCAGTTGTAAAGCATCCGAGTGTAAATAATAAAAGTCACTTTTTTTCATCGCCCTTGTAACTTTAAACAGTTTCTAAATCGGTGGTATTCAACCAGTTCTGCCCGGTTCTGGAGAGCCGGTAGCGGCGATGAGCAGTGGAGACCAAACCAGTTCTCTTCACTGCTCTGTGTTTGGCCCACCTGCTCGCCCGGGCTCCCATACTCACTTTTATGGCCAGAATTCAAAGCACAGCTGCCACAATAGCGCCACAATAGCGCCACACAGCAGCTGCTGCAGCAACCAGCATCATGCAGGCTTGCAGGAGGCAAGTTAGAACGCCTCTGTGCCTGCACAAAGTGCGTGTTTGGCGTGCACATGCACGCAAAGTGTGCATGCGCATAAAGCATGGCCACCAAGCCACGCCCACCAAACCGGTGGCAACTTTAGTTGAATACCACCACTGCTCTAAATGTACTGTTATAATTTGAGGACTACCTGTATTTATATATTTCCTGCCAGGGTAAATAGTGATTATTTCCAGATAAATAAGTGTATATCAGAAAATACCATAGCCTAAGACATTTCTGATGATAATATCATGGCCCTAAGATATTTTGGAGTCTTAAATTTTCTACATAAGTATTAGAAAGTTTACTCATGCTATCATTTTTCAGCTTCAGATAGAGCAGCTTTCCTCCAAAAATCCACATGCGAAGTATCATGGTATCTGGCAGGCTGCTGGTAAGATTTTTCAGGAGGAGGGGGTCACTGCATTTTGGAAAGGTCATGTCCCTGCTCAACTTCTTTCCATCACATATGGGGCTGTCCAGGTGAGAATCAAATAATATTTTATCTATTCAGCCTGAAAACTGACAATTTTCATAACTTCCAGAGAGATCTGTTTAGCTGCCTTTTTGTGTTTCTTTTCAAAAACTGATTTATTTATTTTTTTTAGAATTAATATGACACAATTGAGTTGTTAACATGGAATGTTATGATTCTGGGACTAAAGATTTATTCTTAGCAAAACTTGGGATTTCATATTAACTTTTCTGCACATTTTTTCTGTTCTGGTAATGAGTTAATTTAAATAATTTTAAATGTTAATTAAGAACCTCCATGCTTGCACAAGAGTGATACTCTTGTTTTCTTTTGTCCAGACTTTGTACTCTGTAAATCTCGCTCTTAGAGCCCAAAAAACTCTTTGCTCTATTTTCTCTGATTTCACTTTCTTGCTACAACTTTGCATCCCAGATCCTGAAATGCAAAATAAAATCTGTTGATTTTTGCCAAAGGATGAGAAGCACATCAGCTGCCTCTTCTTTTTTTTTTTTTTTAATAAAAGTTTTATTGAAGTTTTCACAAAATATACAAATACAAATAAAATATCTTTTTTTGAGAACAGCGTGGACCCGGGTTATCACTTCTCCATACAGACATAAATTCAATACATATTTATCTTATACATTCTAATCCATATCTTATAACTATTTTCGCAAATTTTTTCAATAGCTTTTCCCTTTCTTTACTTCCTATAGCCTTATTTTAAATTATCTCATTCCTTTCTTAATTCATATCTTTTTCTAATTTTTAAAATCTTTCTAATCAATGTTTTTATACTTTCGTCTGTCCTGTTTACGATTTCATATTATCTTTTCACATAAAACAAATTTTCCCTTGTAATTACTAGACTGGAGCGTAACACCTTTGTATCTTTTTTCAAATCTTATTTAAAAATTTAAGTTACATCTTTACAGTTATAACATTCATTTTCTAACCTCTATTTTGTAACACATACCTATTTTCAATCGAATTCTGCTTGGTACATTCCCTTAAAGTACACACAAAATTCTTATCTGTGTATATGTGTATAACAATACTAAATGGAATAATTATTCTATTCAAGTACAGCTCCGCATTAATATTAATAACAATCTTTTACATTTCTATTTCTTTTAACAAACGTTACCTAGTAATATCAGTTGTCTTTCACTTTAATCATCTATATTTCATATTTTACTTATTACTGTCTTTAAATAAAAAAATATTTAAATAAAAAACCAAACAATTATTAACAGTAGTCAATAAAGTTATTATTCTTATTCAAGTTCATCTTGTCAACTGATAAAAATCTTCCATGTTTCTTTTCAGGTTTTTTTTAAACGTTATTTTTAAATCATTGAGAGCCTTATTCTCTTTACAAACAAATATTCCATTACACATCAATATAATTTTTTTCTATCACTTTAATCATCTAACATATTTTCTAACCCTTTTCTATTTCTAATATAATAATGCTATCCTATGCACCTTTGCAGAATCCTCTCCTTAAGTTAAATTTTAACCATTGTCTCTGTGTCTTTTAAATAGGTTTATACCTTTAATTCTTGTACGTTTTTCCTGTACCTCTATATCTTGTTTCTGTCTTTTGTAGCTTCTTTTCCTTTCCCTCTTCCCTCTCTTCTTCTCGCTCCCCTTTTTATTCCCTTTTCTATCTGATTCTCCCTTCTGTGATCCTCCCTTCTGCTTCTTCCTGATATTATGATTACTTTTCAAATTACTCTTTTTGGGGGGTTGTTGCTTCAGTGCTAAAGTTTTTAACTCCCTTTCCTCCCTTTCCCTTTTTTACCCCGTTTAAAATTGCTTGGTCATTAAAGATGGCTTCTTCATTGTCAAGCCCTTCTTGTTCTGCCAGCGTTTCTTGTTGTTTTTCATAGTTCAAGATCTCCATTTCTAAGAATTGAAATACAAAGCCAAAAGATCCTCTTCCGTCTTGTGCTTCTTCTTTTTGTTCTTTAAGTCTCATTTTTAACTCTTCAAGGAGTGATGCCATTTTAAAAAAAATTAAACAACCCCCAATTGATTTTATTTTATTTCATTAGGATCCTCCATCCAAAGTTCCAGGAATCATCCAATAATCCAAAACTGTTTCTTGCTTCTTTTCTCACTTTCTCTTTCCAGGGGCTTTGTTTTGCATATAACAAAGTTTTACCTATAATGTATCTTTTGCAAACCTTGTTAAAATGCCACTGTCAATTTTTTTTTTTTTTAAGTTCCAGGTGGTCTCCTCCATTTTCCAGATTCCACCCTCTTTTTTCCTTTATCCCTCCCCTGCTTTCTTTCTTTTTTTAAAGAAAGTTTTTACATTATCCAAGAATCTTTATCCCTTTGACACTTTATTTTCAGCTAGAAGTAGCCTATTAATGTCAAAGTGGATTAGTATCAGTTTCTTATTCGAATCTTTTCTTCTTAATGTTCCAAGTCAGTTAAAACTGTTGATATTAGAGGGAAAAAAGCCAATTCTGTTTCCTTTCCCTTTCTCTTTCTCAGCTTAAAATCTTTTTTAGGAATAGTATTAGTCTTTAAAATTCAGGTTCCAGGTACCTTAAATAGATGTTCTCCATTCAACCCAGTCAGTCATACTTTCTCCTTTAAACTTCCTCCTGCACAATCTTGTCCGGTCGGGTTCTTCTTTGAGGTGGCCATTTCTGACCACCGCTGCAACCGCCTTTGGGAAAGGGAGTAATGGCCAGCCGAGGAGGAGAGATGTGGCTCTCCTCAACCCCACTGATAGCTCCACGCTCTTCACCACCTCTATGGGGTGGCTTCAGCACCGAATCTACGCGGCTCGGGGCACTCCAGCGACGAGCACGGATCAAAACCGGAGATGATCGCGATTTCGGTCCGTCGCCAAAAAAGCCCAAACTGGAAGTTCCTGAGCTGCCTCTTCTTGTTTTGATTATTTAATGATAATCTATCTTGGATACTAGTTTGTAAACTGATGTAATTCTGAGGAGTCCAAATGGTTCTTTCTCAGATGTTGGGTATGCTCACGTGCTAACTCAGTATAAATTGAGGAAGGATTTACCTAATTATTAAGGTTCAGATATTGTAACATATTAAACCATAAAGTAACTATGTTAACTGGATCCACTCAACCCATTGAGCCATAAATTAGCCAACTATGCAGCTCTACTGATACTTACTTCCAGAGACATCCACCATCCTAAATCCTATAAATGAAATAAGTGAAAAAAGATTCATCATAGTAATTAGTACTTATCTAATTACTTCAGAGATGCAAAGCCTGAATTTTTGGACCACATGCATTAACAGAAATTATTCTTTTAAAATACCATTGTGTGATTGGTGGCTCTCTTAAAATCAAATATGTACATTTCTGATTGTTTTGGTTTTCTTTTACAAGTTTGTCAGCTTTGAATTTCTGACGAAGCTGGCACACCATGGCACATCTTACGATGCTCGTGACTTCACTGTGCACTTTATCTGTGGCGGTCTGTCTGCTTGTGCTGCTACTATAACAGTTCAGCCTCTTGACACATTGCGCACTCGCTTGGCTGCCCAAGGAGAACCGAAGGTAAGAGATGGATGAAAGATTTACCCCCCACCCCCACCCCAGTGCTTCCAGATTAATTCTGTTTTTGCTACCTGGAGAATATTCTAGCACCTTACTTTACACCGACAGTATTTATTTAATGAAATGATGCCATTCTGACTCGTTTCCAACTTACTTAGAGTCTTAGGGCCATTTATGAGATTAATGCATTTATTATGGTATAAGCTTTCATAGGAGGGACTGTCATTGAGTTTCTTTTATTACATCATAAAACATCATGGTATCAACAGCGTTCTTGGCATCTATACAGGTTCTTGGTTTAAATATCCTAATACATTATATTACATTTGTTTAATATTAAATAATAGCTTTAACTATGATTACTATTCTTATATCTTTGTATAATGTATGAAATTATGTTTTACTTTCTTAAGGATTATTCCAGTTAGGTTTCTTGTCTCACTTCTTAGTTCTGTTTGTTAACTATTTATACCAATTGTTCCAAATTAAAAAGAGAATTCAGAGTCATCTTTTTCTTTCAGTTTCAATGTTAACATGTAAATCTCAGCACTTTCCATTACTTTATGTATTATTAATTCTTCGTTAGGGGTATTTGGAGTTTTCCATACCTGCGCAAAGGCTATTCTGGTGGCTGTTGTAATGTGTAGCAATAAATATTTTACTTCTTTTAGTAATCTATCTTTGATGATTCCTAAGAGGAAGATTTCTGGTCTGAGCTCAATCTGGTACCCAATAATCTCTTGTAACCAGTTTTTGATTTGGATCCAGTATGTCCTGGTCTCGGGGCACAACCACCACATGTGATAAAATGTACCATCAACTTTTTTACATTTCCAACATTTGGGACTTATGTTGGGATAAATTTTTGCCAATCTCGTTGGAGCTAAATACCATCTATAAAACATTTTGTACCTATTTTCTTTGTATGCCGCGGATACCATTAACTTATAATTTATGTTCCATATTTTCTCCCATTCCTCTAATTCTATAGTGTGTCCAGAATTCTGTGCCTATGCAATCGTTGTGCCTTTGACTGTTTCTTCTTCCATTTTGAAGTCTAATAAGTATTTGTATATTTTAGTTATAAATTTTTGTTCCGGTCCCATTAAGATTTTATCTAATTGATTCTGCCCTTTGTCAAAACCAAAATCTTTTAAGTCTTTTTTATATTTATTTGGGATTTGCAAATATGGCCACCATCAATTATGATTCCATTTTCCTTTAGTTCTTGATTTGATTTTGATTTTCCTTGACTAATCATTCCTCATAGCTTACCATTTTCCTTAGGTCTAATCTATTTGGATGGATTATGGCTTCCATGGATGACAGAGGAGGGACTGTCCTCTTTATGTGTCACAAGATTCTTGGTTGATACGTTAGGAAACTGACAGGCAAGGCTAGGAGGAGTGCTTGGGGCGGATGAAGAAATAAGTATGCAGAGTCCCAAAGGGTGAAGGGAAGACTTCGATAAACAGCTGCATCTTGAGAAAAGCTATAAACCTGATAGGGAAGCAACCTGAAAGATAGGAATCACCATCCATCAAGGTTTACAGTATGTGGGAATTAGATCAATATGGCTTGTTTACTAAAGCAGAGTTATTTTGGCTTACTATGTTTGAATCCAGCCATTTTAGTATGAAGTATTCAAGTGCAAAGTGGAAGAGGTGCTTCACATCCGGGATGGTCATGGTCTCTTTACCTGTCAGCAGCTTCTTTTCCTGGTCTATCACTGTTCACCCAGGAAAACAGGTGTTTTATCTTCAGAAGCTCCTTATTCTAATACGTGTTAAATTTCAGGTGTTAAGTTTCCTGTGGGAACAGTCTTTGCTTCTCTTACACAAATTTGAAATTCTGTGCTCAGAAATTATTTTCCACAGAAGGATTATTATGCATGCAGAATAAGCTGTGCAAGTTTATATCTTATTGTCCAGATAGGCATCATAGGAACTGTACTTTGCATAATAGATCATTTTGCTTTTCAGTACCCCATTGAGAAGGCAGCTGTGTGGGAGGAGCAAAGGGTAGCACAGGGATTGTCTAGTCATGACAAAAAGGCACAGGGCCTCTGCTGCCAGAGATCTCTGCCTGGCACATGGGAGAGAGTCTTCCTGAGATCAGTCTTTAGGAAATCCATAGGGATATTTCTTTTTCTCTCTCTCTCTCTCATCGAGCTTTTAACTGGTTACTTGCTTTTAGTAATGATTTTATCATGATGTGTTTTATATTCTTTTAAAAAAAATTCTTTCCAACTTGAGTACTCTTCAGAGCAGAAAAGCGAATAAATAATAGCCACACTGCTGGGATCTGCCAATACATTAAAACATCTAATATTCTTGGGAAGAACTCGATGAGTATGAAGGCCAACAGCAGCTAATGAACTGGGAGCTGTGATTTCACACGTGCCTATGATAATAACACCTTTAAGAACATCAAACATCTGCCTATCTCAGGTCTTTGGGAAGGATTCAATAGATGGAGAAAAATGCCAAACCCAGTCTAAACATCTGACTGGCTGTGCGACCAACCATCATACAATGATGACCAGAAGTGTAAATAGTGTAGATAGCCCATTTAGGTAATGAAGCTTTTTGACAGCATAGCTGAAATCTAGCTTCCATACTGAGAGCAAAATTTGCATCATGGTCAAGGAAACATGTTCCTCCTTAAATTGTTTTAGATTTACAGGAACCTCCGCCATGCTGTGGTCAGCATGTACCAGAAGGAAGGGCTCCTGACTTTCTATAGGGGACTGAGCCCAACCATAATTGCCATTGTTCCTTATGCCGGCTTCCAGTTTTCCTTCTACAGTCTCCTGAAGAGGGTGTACAACTGGATTGTTCCAAGCGACGAGACGAAGAAAGGTTGGTGCTAATGGCGGGGCTGGGCAGGGGAAAGGGGGCAGGTGAGCTCGCGGTTATACCGGGAGGGCTGTCTTGTCCCCAAGCTGGGCTTAGAAAGTCTGCTACCTCAAGGTTGGAAATCAGCTGGTGGCCAATTTGTAAGTGTGATATCAGTAAGTAAATAGGAACCCACTGAGAACCTTTCATAAAGATAATCCTACCCTTGTGTGGCTCACGCCTCTCCTATGTTGACCAGTCCAGGGCTTTGAAGGGCAGGATCAGAGTTAGCTTTGGAGTGCTTCCTTCCACGTTTAACTTCTTGGTTTTTCAGGTAATATTAGAAACTTAGTGTGCGGCAGCTGTGCTGGTGTCCTCAGCAAAACCCTGACCTATCCCTTTGACCTGTTCAAGAAGCGACTGCAAGTAGGTGGTTTTGAACAAGCCAGAGCAGCCTTTGGGCAGGTGAGAAGGGGATTTGACTTGTGGAAATATTTCTTGTTCCCTTTCCTCTCTTTTTCCATGCTAAATATATCAGGCAAGTGGGGTATATCTGCTGAAACAACCAGATTTTCCCCTTTTATGCAATATCTAAAATAGGAGTTCTGCCTCACCTGCTCTCGTCCCCTTATTTTAGTGTTTCTCAACCATGGCAATTTTCCAGGTAGGTGGATTTCCACTCACAGAATTCTCCATGTGGGCTGTGGGATTCTGGGAGTTGAAGTACGCCCACCAGGAAGTTGCTATGGTTGGGAAACCCTGCCTTTGATGAAGACATTGCTAGAAGTATGTTCTGCCCACCACTGAGATCTTGTAGCTTTGATGCTTGTAGCCTTTCAGTGTATATTGGATGCATTGCTTGTAATGGAGCCATTGCTGCCCCCACCCACCCCCACCCCGGCTATTTCTAGATGAGAACTTGGGGCCGATGCTTTCCCTCCTGCCTTTTTTTTCCTGTTACATGCAGAAGGGTGGCAGTTTATCACACTGTGTTTTTGCTCAGCTTGCCGTTGAATCAACTGCAGTTTGTGCAAGCCACAGTGGCCCGTATTTTGACAGAGGTTGCTTTATTATACACAGAGCCTAGTAGTTTTAAATGGTGTGCGAAGAAAAGAGGAAGTGGGAGCACCTGAACTTCCCACATCTTGTTTGTGTAATAATAAGGCACAACTTAGTTGGTGCCACCTTATTCAACCTTCTTCTTTCAAAGTATTGAACATACACCTTTTCACAATAAAACTGTGTTATAAATATTTAGTTTCTTTTTTGTTCAACTAGCCAGTTTGCGGTGGCTTTTTTTTTCTTTCTTTCTAAATCTCAATCCATAGCTCTTAAGTATACTATTCCTGATTCTTTTTGTCATTTTCTGCCTGGAGACCAATATGCATAACCTGGCTATGTGGTGCTTCGGAATCAGTTTCCATGAGAGAGCACTAACATAGCACTTCTTGCCATGACTTTTCCCTATGATTACATGAGACTGAATCCAACATCCTGTTATATCTAGGAGAGAAGACTTTGTACCCAGCCTGAATCTCTGCTCTTTCTCACTCACTTCTTGTGTCTGCAGGTTCGAAGCTACACTAGCATCATGGACTGTGCCCGACAGATAATCTTGGATGAGGGACCCAGAGGGTTCTTCAAGGGCTTCACCCCAAGCATGTTGAAGGCTGCTTTCTCCACCGGCTTCACCTTTTTCTGGTATGAGCTCTTTTGCAGTCTTCTGCTAACAATGCAAGACTCTGGTGGTTCCAAGAAGCAAGAAGGCTAATGCAAGCAAGAGCTGCTTACCTGCCTTCCCCTCCGGTGGATGTTCTTAAGAGTGTAATTCTGGCAGCTGCAGCCATCATAGTTGGGGATTGAAGGGTGAGGCAAGGCATATGGGACTGGAGATTTGAGACGTGACTCTCAGCCCAAGCCCAGGATGCACATTACTCATTGGTTTGGTTCAAAACAGAAACGGTGGCTGACCTCAACACCTGCTCAGGTTGCCTGTTTAGTCTGCAGTTGCAGCGTTTGTGAGTCTTGATGAGGTTCATCATCAAGGCCTCTGAAGATCTTTGCTGCAAAGGGGTGTCTGCTTTTTCTACTGTTTCATAACAGAGGGTTTCAATCAGACCCCCGGGTCACATATCAAAATCCCCTTTTGTGACCCTGAAAACTTTATACCCTTAAACCGAACCATATATTGACTAGTGGCTGGCCAGACTTCTCTAGCATGGCCATTTTGCAATGCCTGTGATAAGCTGGATGTCCTGGCATTTAGGGACATTTGCTTAATAGACAACTACCTGCCTTGGCCATTCAGCCCCACAGTAAAAATATTACAGGTGTTTTGTCAGGTCATTCCCCCATTCGCTTGCTTCTTGGCTGAGGTTCTTGCAGGCCCTGTGATTTTACAGTGTTTCATTAGTGAGTATGTGGAAATTGTCTTGTTGCCAAAATCCTAAACGAAGTAGAGGAAGATCTGCTTATCTTTCCCTTCTGTGTTAGCAGGACCATTAGAGTTCATGGTTCCTCTTGCCCTACCCATACATAAATATATTTTGCCACTACTCCAAATTCAAAATAGAGGGCAAGCATACAAGGGGCCTGTAAATTAGACACATATTTTTGCACTATCAACTTCTCCCTTCTTACTAAAACACATATGCTGGATATAAATGCTTAAGAAGTTTTTGTTTTAAACTTTTTCATTTTGAATCAAAGTGATGAAAAAATAGTGTTGACTACACAATTATTCAGTTTCATTTTGTGAAAAGATACATCTTTTAAATTATTGTAATGATTTTTCTTAAACAATATTATCCCCTGATAGCTTTCTTTTCCCCCAAGAAGAAGCTCTGGAATAACAACGGAAATTTTTTTGCAGCGAACTCTTAACATTTAGTGAAAAAAGAATTGCTTGCCTGGCTGAATTTGGCCAATTTTATATATATATGAAAGCTATAAAGAAAATTAAACAATTGGTGCAATCTTGTTGAAGTTTACTCAGAAATAAATCTCACTATGCACATTTAGAATTGCAGCCTTTACTTTCCAAGTCATGGAAAGATAGATTTCTCAGTTTCCTGGTACATGCTCTGTATTTACATTAAAAAGTTCACTGCAATTGGGTAAGTAAGTTTGCTTTAAGGTTTTGTCCTCACAAGCTGAATATTCTTATACTAATTCAGTTCTGCCTGACATAAAATATGAGTTGTCATAGTCCCAGTTTCATACACAGGAAGAAGCTGATTCTCTTTTCTCTACCCATTTTCTATGCACTTTTCTGTAAAATGTAAATGTAAAAGCATAAAAATAATGTATATTTATTTATGTAGATATTTTTGTACTCTGTAACCTTTGCATGGTAGCTGGGGAAAAAGCAATGACTGCAAACTGACAGGGTAAGAGTTGGGAAATCACCAAATTTTTTACAGCAATCAAGTTGATTTCCACTCCATGACATCCTTTCAGCATAGGACAATCCACATTCAGATACACTGCTAAGTTGAAGGTACTGAAGTAATACACAAGTACACTCCAGTTTGCTATATACCTGATAAGATATAACCAAAGCTTCTGGAAAGAGAGAGGCTTAAAAAAATTAAGAGATTTGTTTCCAGCAGTATCTGCAAATTCTTTTTATGAAACTTCCACTACTGGCAGGATGGATTTTAATTCTTTTGGTATCAAATTATGCTGAATCAGTAGAATCAGAGCTGTTGCTGTTTAGAAGTACAGAGACTGCAAGCAGGAAAGTTTCAAGCTACTTTCTTTTGCTTACCTACTGGGTCAGGTTGTTCTTTGTACTCTTATCTGTATTTATTTTCATAAGAGCTGTGAAAGTCACATTCCAGCTACATTGCATACCATTGGAAGGGCCCTGATTTGTGCAAACTTTGTTCTATGTTCTCATGCAGGACCTTTAAAACTGAGTCTTGCAACTTGGAAAGGGATAACTACCTTCGTTCCCCAAAGTAAACAGCCTTGCAAAGAAGATAGTTCTTGCTGGTGAATTTTGAAAGGCACGAATTCGGGGGCATAAGGAATTGCTGGCCACCCCCTTCCCACCCAGTCAAGAACTTGGGCGATTACCTTGACTGGAGTGAAAACTTCAGCTCAGTCTTTTTTGAATGCCACACACCCTGCCAGGGTTCTTGTGTTTTTCCCTACCTATACAGTACATTAGCTCATGAAACCTGCCTTTCTGTCAGAATTACCCTCTTTTTAAGCATGCAAACTAGCAAGCTTAAAAGGCAAGCATGAAGTCTCACCAATCCAAAGAAAGAAGGAACACTTGACATTTGTAGTCTCCAAGTACAAGCCAGGTCACTTATCTTTCAGTTCTCCTCTATCCTTTAGTGCCTCCTTCAATCTGCTTCCTCAAATATGTTAATGTTAAGATATTGTGCCTTATGACAGTGCCAAAATCAGTGTATACTTTAATACTTCCGTGTTAGGTCTGCAGTTTCTGCCCACACCTCCAAAACCGTTGATGGTTATTAGCTGGACTCCTATGCCAATGAGAACCCAGACAAACTTGTACTCCTAGTACTGTAATCTAAATGATCTTTGTAGACATCTAGGGTTGTGCAAGGTTTCAGATTCCATTACTGAATTTTTGTTCACTCCCTGTGTTTAACATGAATGCTTAATCTATAACACTGTGTCTGTATTTTTCATATAAAGATTTATTTTTTGTGGCTGAGACAGTTTGGACCACCCAGTTTTCTAGTCCATAGAACATGTGTCTATCTTGAAAGAAAAATAAATATATAATTATATTTATCATAATTGTGGACTATTTTTTTCTTTTTGCGATCGCCACTCTTTTCTTCTGAGAATCCAACAGAGGAACAGCATGTAAACATCCCTTTTCACTTTACTGCACCTAAGCAGTACCTAGGAAAGACTTGGGAAAGGCAGCGGATGTTTGGCAGGGAAAGGCTTTTTATAAACTTGCTTTTTATAAACAGTGCCCTTAATGTCTGATTATTGTATTTGGGAGTCTGTTAAAAATAAAAAGGTCTCATTTGAGTGCTTACAGGTGGTGAAAACCTGGAGGGGAGGAGTAGGCCAAGCGTTGATAAGACTAGATGGCTGTGTGGTTTTGTGCTTCTCCTCCAGAGTCAGGGATATTTTATCTTTAGTCCTGTACTGGGTTGCCCTTGCTCATTCAGGGTTTATGCATAGCTTCATGAACACACAGCTTCTGTTCGTGGCTGCAAAATCTTCTCACAAATCCAGTCTATGTCTCAATTGTATCCTTCTCTTTTAAGAAGCCACTCGTGCTTTAGTTACCTTACGCCTAGGCTGCTGCAGTGTGATGCACATGGAGTTGCTGTTCAACTACAGCTGGATATGGATACAGTGGCAAGCAATTAATGGGCATGCCACATGTTACTCATATAGCATCTTTGCTCTATAGCTGCACTGAATATTAGCAGGTTTCCAGAGATAATTCAAGATGTTGGTTATTACTTATAAAGCCTTGGTGACCTGGTTATCTAAAAGACTATCTCTCTTCCACAGTTTCAACTCAACATTTGGGCAGGGCAGGCAGGCATATTCCACCTGTTTGTGGAAAGCCTGTCCCATTTCTGACTTCTCAGTTTGCAGAATTTTTTTTAAAATCGGGACATTATCTCTGTAGGAAGGGAGTTCTGACATCCAGTGACCAGTATAATGTAGTGTCCCTTCTAAATTCAGGTACTGTAATGTAAAACATAGTAGTAGAGGATGCAGTCCCTGGCCTCTGCGTAGATTGAATAAAAGCATTTGAGAGTATGCAGCAATAGCACTAGTGGAGACATGAAAAGATTTTTAAAAGGACTTCGAAAGTATGGTGCATGTAGTGAATATATCCAGGGTAATATTTCTGCACAATGTGTGTGTGTGTGTGTGTGTGATCACTCATTAGACATCAGTAGTTGGCTGTTGGACCAGCACTCCAAATCCTTGACTCTGTCTCTGACTTTGTGTATTTAACTGATGTTCCTTATTTCTGGTTCAGGCTTTCGCTGCTGGATCGCAGATTCTAGTACGGAAAGGCAACCAGACAGGTTAACCCTTGCAGGATCCAATCTCGATCGGTCACCGGGACTTGATAGTTAGTTCTTCCGAGCCTTCGGATTCATGCTGGAGCTCATCCTGGAGTCCTCTGGTCCCGGTGACCGGCCCAGATTGGATCCTGATTCCTGCAACGTTATCCCGAGACACGTGTATTTTGCCTTCGTTCGTGAGTGAAGTAAACTCTCGCCCAGCCTCTCCAGCACCTTGATTTAAAGGAGCGTACCTCCATTTGCCAGCAGGTGGCGCTGCTTGCCGGTATACTGTCACCGTCTTCCTCCTTCCTTCCACACATCCTGTGGCGAGGAAATGACCTAACTAAGAGGAAGCCTCCGGCTGTGCAAACAAGGGGGAAGGAGGGGGGAGGAAACGCACCCCACTCAGCAGCTGAGTTTTAGGAGTTGCCGTCGGATCCCAAAGTGAGTGAAAAGCCAGAGCGGCCTGCCTGCCGGAGGGACGCGCGACGGCTGCTCGGGTCAGCCCAGCTGGGCGCTTCTGTCGGGATTGTCGGGGGGCCGCCGGGGCCAATACCCGAAGGATGCCCATTCTGCACTTGCACTCCATGCTTGAGCTGCTGCCTTTCTTGCTGCTGCTGCTGCTCTTTTTGGTGGTGGGCTTTTTTCTGATATACCTCCAGCGACCCGAGCCGGACCCCAAAAAGGTTTAGCCCCTCCGCGCCCCCCGGGGGGGACGTTTTCCCGCGGCAAGATGCAGGCGCGTCCCTGCTGACATCGGAGGCCTGAAAGGCGAGAGAGCAGGTGGGTGTCCTTCCGACTTCCCCTTCTCGCTGTCTGGGGTCTGCCTGAGAAAGTCGGGGTGCGGGTCTCTTGGAGGGGGCGGGCCGTCCCCCCCCCCCTTGATAAGTTGGCTTCCCTCTTGGGAAGCCTGGTTTTTAAAGAACAGGTAGGCCTTGACTTTAACCACCGCAATTGAGCCCAAAATGTATGTTGCTAAGTGAGTTTTGTTAAGTGAGTTTTGCCCCATTTTACGACCTTTCTGGCCACACTTGTTAAGCGAATCCCTGCAGTTAATTTAGTTACATGATTGTTAAGTGAATCAGGCTTCCCCTGGTGGTCAGTAGGTCTCAAAAGGGGATCACGTGACCATCTTAAATATGAATCGCTTGCCAAGCAATTTAATTTTGATTATGGGACCGTGGAGATGCTTGTAAGTGTGAAAAATGGTCATAAGTTACTTTTTGCAGTGCCATTGTAATGTTGAATGGTCACTAGATGAACTGTTGTAAGTTGAGGACTACCTGTAGAGCCATCAGTCAAAAGTATTTGTGGTGGTTTTGCTGGACTGTGTCAGCCAATGTTGTATGGGTAGGTGTATACAAGAAATGAGTCTTTCCAGTTTTGCTCCTTTGCAGGGACTTGGTGAACATATCTGTGTTATATCCTGGCTAACAATATTGAAGTAGTTTGCCATTACTTTTTTCCTTTACCCCAAAAGTTACTTTCAGGAGTTGGAAATGGAATAGAACCCCATTTATCATTTATTTCATCTGCGTAGGCACCAATTTCAAATACATGACTCTAAGAGTGACTTACAGTGTTAAAATGAATACAAATATATACATAACACAGCTGGGAAAGTCATAAAAAGACATTATTAACATGATGAGGAGGCAGGCACAGAATCAGGTCTTCAAAAGCTTTGCGAAAGGCCAGCAGGATTGGGGCTAGTTCCAGAGGTCTGGCATCAGGCAACAGTAGCTCTGGTTTCTATACATGTCAGAACAGTCACAGAACATACTGACTGCTGACTTGCTATGCAAAGAAGTAACTGATCTTGAAATCTAACTAGTGGTCACATGCTCTGAATAGGAGAAAGATTGGTATGACTGCTCTGGTATGTGTTGAAACTGACTTATCATTTGGGAATTCTCCATGCAATAACAAAACTGGCTGTGCTCTCCCATTAATAACATTGCTGTGTAATGACAGCAGTTGTTGTAAAAAGGAGTTGTCATACCCTTAGTCAGTTCATGGCAGTGCATATTGATTGTACATCAGGGCTGTCAAACTTGCAGCTGTGGGCCGGATAGCGAAGGGAAAAAAGTCCCAATATGTCATGTGACGCTGCGGGTTTGACACTCAGAAGTTCAATTCAGGTCATTAGTTTGAAGATCTCCATGGTTTGAAGACCTGCCTGTCTCCTTATGTATTTCTTTATATATTTACAAGTGACCCGTTGTGGACTCTCAAAAATAGAAATCTCCATAAGAATGCCTCAGTTACAGAAAACTTTTTGAGACAGAAAGGCTTGGTGTCTCTTTGATTCTATCTTGTTGCTTAAGGAAGATTTTATTTTCTCAAACCTTTGGATTTTTAAAACTCTTCCCTGTTTTTTTTTGCTAGGGAATTCTTATTCTGCTTTTCATCTCCTGTTTCAAATGATGACTTTTTAAAATTGTGGACTTTTTATTTTATTTTGGAAACCATTTGAAAAATGGTTTGTTTATCAGTAATTCAGTATAATTATTTACTAGTAATAATAGCTGCTACAAAGTATAAAAACTAGAGAATATTAACAACAGTGCTTTTAAAAATAATTGTTGTTTTGATGATACCATAATGCTCTCCAAAAGCAGGCCTTTGAATGCTGCCTCCAACTATTCTTTTCTAGAATGGAGTTCAAACATGCGTTTAGATCGTAATTTGTTTAATTCATCCTTTGATGAATAAGTTCCATTTACCTAGGACCTAAATTCATGCAACATACTAAGCCAGAACTAAACTTAGCGTGGTGTGTGTCTTCCTGGACTAAAATATCTCCCTATTTTTCTGAGTTCACTAGGTAGCAAACCTCTTGCAGGATTTTCTTATCGCATTACTGCAAATCAAGAGGGGTCAAGCAGAGCATGTCATACTATGAAGCTGTGAA